GAGTCTTGGGACGAGAATACTGCCTCTGACAGAGCCAAGGTGGGTAGGCCTCCTTCCTGGTCGCACGCAGCAGCCAGGACGGGATGACGAGAAAGAACAAAAAGGACAGGAACAAGAAGACTAAGCAAGCAGAAGACAATAAGCACATGGCACTCAACATCCATCCACCAGTCACCAGCAGCGTCGTATCACCCAGATCCTGAAAACTGTCAAACCTAAGTTTTCGAAGGCCTGAAACCGGCAAACCCTACACTACAAGCCTCCTGTCAACCCTGTAAACACCCTTGACCCTTGTCACCACTGTCCAAAACCCTCAACCCCGTTTCCGGGAGCCCGAGCCTGTTGCGCCTGCGGTTTGCTCGCGCGGCCTCGGCCCGCTTGATGTGAAGCTCACCAGCCACCTCGGCTGGGGCTGGGGCAACGTAGCTACGGCTTAGGGTTTAGAGCTTCGGGTTTGAGTTTAGGGTTCAGAACTTGAGGGATTTGGATTCAGGGTTTAGATTTGGGGGTTCAAGGTTCAGGGGCTGAGGCTTTGGGGACAGGGCACGCGCGTCCCTTTTCTAGATGCTAGGGATTCGCCCGTGACCCACTAAACGCTAGCTGTGTATTGATGTGCCGTTTGCCTGGTGTGGTTTAGCCTAGACAATAGGGAGGGAGACCCTCAAAAACACTACTCAAACCATGATTGATCGCCACCACCACTACCTGGACTCGAACCCACAAAACCCACACTCCCACGTGCCGGACCCTGCATATATTAGCGGAGCCACGTCAATGGAAGACACGTCTTGTGGCTGCACCACGGCCTGCGGCTTCTTGGAGGCACTCTTTTAGGGCTGTAGTGATCAGTGTTTCGGAAGATGTGAACCTGACTCCTCAACTGTAACACCTAAATCCTAAACCCTCGTACCCTGCACCCTCCTAAACCAGATGTGGGACATGATGTGCAGTGCCCTTAACGCCTTGTATAAGGTGCACGCGTCCGCCTCTACCCATGAGCTGCAGTTTCTAGCACATGTGCATCTTTGGGGTGGGCACATATCAGTGCAAGCGAGGTTTTATGCAGGTTATGCTGCCCAATTCACGGGCCTCTGCGACAAGCTCCGTGTGGACAGCTCTTTGCAGGTTGGTGAAGCTGGGAGGTGAGTCGAGGATGTGCTCGGCTGCATTTGCGTTGTGCAGGGCTTTGCGACAAGTGAGTTCGCATGCCGGCCTTTGTCTCAAAAAGCGGGGGATTGTGGGTCTGAGAGAGCGGGGGACCAATCCAGTTCATCAGCAAGGAGCGTTTGGTGGTTGAGGGGCGCCTAACAACTGGTGCGGTGGCTCATGCCCAGTGGCCTCCAATCACAGAAACGGTTCCAGCAGCATCATCTTTTTGAAGCATGCCCCAATGCCCACATGTCACTGGGCGACGGAGTGTGGGAGATGATGTGCACTGCCCTTAAAGTGCACGCGTCTACCCATGTGCGGCAGTTCCTAGCACGTGGGCGGGGTTGGGGTGGGCACATGTGCATGCAAACGAGGGTCTACGCACCCTCAACCCTAAAGGCCCTAAACCCTAAACCCTAAAACCCTAAACCCTGAAGCCTCCTACCCCAAAAACCCCAAAACGTAGACCGTCTACATCAATTCCGGAAACCCTCGCTGATCGGCGGCTCCCCGAGCCCAGGTTGCCACGCCCTAGAGATCCTTTAAAGGCTCTTCAGGAGTTTATGGCTTAGGGCTTAGGGTTTATTGGTTTAGGGTTTAAGGCATCGGGTGTCAAAGGATTTTGCAAAGGCCTTATTCGGCGTTCATGCAGGTTTGCAGTGGGGGCTTGAAGTTTTAGGTCTGGAGGTCAGAAAGTGTAGGCTTTGGGGTTTACGCTTATGCCGTGTCATCATGATCAATGTACCCAACCCCCCCCCCCTTTTGAACCCAGGCCCTTGATGCCGGCTGGAACGACAGGACCTTGCCGCACGCCTCAAACCCAAATCCCTCCCCAAACCCTGAACCCTAAACCCTAAACCCACACCCTAAAGCCTTAACATTAAAGCTTGGAGTCTAATGTCAGCCCATGGACAACTAGCGCCGTGGTATCATCCGCGTTGTTGGCAGGAACTCCGCTGCGGGTCCTTCGGTTCCAGGGTCTGATATCTTTGCTTTTGGAGAGTCTGCTCGGGGGTCTCCGCTTGTGGTTAGGGTTGAGGGTCTAGTGCTAAGGCTTGCGGCGACAGCTGGGGACTCGGCAGGGCTCCGAACGCGCTACCTTCGTGCGGAGTAGACAGAACGACTCAACACTGCAGTTGCCATCGGAGATCGAGAACTTCGTTCTACTCTCAAAGAACTTCCTAGGAAATACAAGCTTAGAATCATGAACTTCGAAATGGCAAGCAACTCCCGTAAACCCTGAACCCTAAACCACTAAACCCTCAGCACTAAACCCTAAATCCTAAAGCGTATGTCCTGGAGCTCAAAGCCTGAACCCTGAACCTTCATAACTCCCCCTCCTCAAAAAAAAGGAACCACAACTCTAAGTCAGAAACCCGAAACCCTAAACTCCAAACCCTATAAACACCAAACCCTACACAACGACGCAGTCAAAAAAAAAACTCCGAGCTGCCATGGCTTGGCTGCTGCGGCGTCCGCCCCAAGGCGCACGCTTCGGATGGCAAGGTCGACCAGTGCCTTTTGGGAATTTGGGGTTTAGTCGCTAAGGGGTTTAGGCGGCTTGGGGTTCAGGGTTTAGGCGTTTGGAGGTTCGGGCTTGAGGGGTGTTAAGATTTAGGGCTTTCGGGTGTTAGGCTGTGGAGCTTTAGGGGTGTCAAAACTTAGGGTTTTAGGTTTGAGATTCAGGTTTGAGGGTTTAGTACATACGCTCTCACAGAAAAGGCTTAGGTTTCTGTTCTGGAATGTAAGAGATTCAAGTAGTTTGCAAGCTCAGGACCTTGACCCCATGGTGGTTTCCTTTTTGGGGAGGCTTGGGCTGGCTGAGGGTGTTGGACTTACCCCTCATACAGAGTTTGATAAGGGTTCTGTAGGGTCGTGGCTGTTTCCGGGATCAGGGCGAACGGCTTTGAGATTTAGTTCAGACCTTATGGGTCGTTGGTTTGAAGTCAAGGCTTTTGTGAAAAGGCCAATGCCGGGTGACAAAGTCTGCGGACAGCACTGCAAAATCTGACTGCAGAGGCACCCAGCTTCTGGCCCACTAAAGCTAAAAATTTGAGTTCTTGGGTGGGGAGAAGTAAATAATACCATCTTTTATGATGTTGTGGTATACAACCGTATATTCTATTATCTACAGGCTGCAGCTTTTAAGGATCGCCCCCACTACGTATCGCTTGGTTACCGGATCTCGTGCGCTTCGACCTGAGTGGAAGGCGGGCCTCCTTTTTATGAACAGGTAGTGTTATACTATAGTGCTTGAAATGCCTAGTTTTGCACTAGATACTGTTTTTCAAGCATATAGCTTCTTATACTACAGTATACACAAAATATGTTATTTTGCATATCATATCATAACATATCAGCTTCGGTCACATTATGTGTGTCATGTCGCATTGAGCTTCGACGTTGGTTCCACTTCGGCCTTCATGAAGCTGCAGCTTTCAGGCCACGCAGGTGCGGAGGGGCAATGTGAGGGTTCAGGGCCAAGCTGGCTCCAGAATTCCCTCAAACCTAAACACCATTAATGTAGAAGCCTTAATAATTTCAATGGAGTTTTGGGGTATGTTATACTAGAATCATGAAAAGGACCCCCCAAAATAGTATAGGTAATTACTAAGGCTCCGTATTGGAAGCATATACCTCAGGAGGCTAAGCACGGCAAGGAACTGCCGCAGTCTCTTCCAGCTCTTCGATCCTGTGGAAAGCCGGTTCAGGGCAGCGCTGCTGTAGCCTTTCTGATGATGACGAGTAAAACACAGATGACAACGACGAGGATGCTGGTGGTGGAGACAATGTGTATGATGACACAAAGCGGACGACGATGATGACCCAGATGCCGGTGTGCTACGACCTTGATGGCAAGTGCAGCTCGAGCCAGCGTGTCGTCCAGTAAGGATCCGAGCCCCAACCCTAGACACACACGTATACAACGAATACTCGGAGGATGCAAGATTCTGAGACAGGGACCTGGCCACTGGTGTTGCCGGGAAGCCCGTGAAACCTAAATCCAAAATTCTGTTGTGGTTACTGGTCCGGAAACCGAGACCTCCATGAGCCCGCCTTGGGCCTTGACCATGAAACCCGAGAAACCCTGTACCACAGGGGCCTAGGGTTAGGGGAAATACTGTACATGTCTGCAGGCCCAATGAGAGTTTCAAGAGAAAAACTACTAACTACTGTTGATTACGTATTCAGAACCATTGTTTAAGCCATTCCTTGAGGCCCTAAGCCTTCGATTGGCCTCCCCACTGCGTCGTGGCAGCAGCCCTCCACGACGCGCTGGACATCGAAGTCGGAAAGGTTGTCGAACCTGAACTTGGCATGTTATGGGGTTTTGCGGGGTTTGAGGATTCGAGCTGTGCTCTTCTCTGTGTTGTGGCGTTCGGGATTCGAGTCGGACATAATGTAAGGGCATCAACAATTGGAACAAGATTTTGGGCTCCTTTGTAGTATTTCAACAATAAGGCACCCTAAGGAATAAGATTGCTAGCTATTCAGGTTTCTAAGTTTTCTATAAAGGTTTCCAAGGCCGGGAACTCCGACGCACAAAATTCAGCCTGAACTTCAGACTGCAGCCCTTCATGTAGGCCACGGCAGATGAAGACAATGAACCTCCTACCACACCAAACCGCAGTCATCACATATCCTCAAGCCTCCAAGCGTCTTACAGTCCTGCATCTGCGTTCTGAATCGAGATGTCCGAGCTTGACAACATGCGGGAACCATGGGAGGTGATGCCTCGTAGAAGGCACGGCTAAATACTCCGAACCTCAACGTGAAAAACTGAATCACCGCCAGGATATCACTGTACCCCCTAGGACTGGAATTTAGGGGACCAGCATGGATTAAGTGTTTTATGGGACCGTCATGGCGAGCTGCAGGCCGTCTGTACCCAGAATGAGGAAATCTCCAGGCTGAATGGGAGTGACCGCGACCGCGGCACCTTCGATGACCTGTGGCGTGGGCGATCTATACTGTAGTTGCCGTTATGATCAGAACGAGTGTGTGTGGCTTGTACTGCTAGGGTCCAGGGGGTGCATTGCTCGGCTCGGTTTCATGGTCTCAGCGCTTCATCCGCTAATTCTCCGATTGCCATGACGGTATCATACAGAAGGAAGACGTTCGGGTAGAGGGTTGTTGGATGTGGGGCATGCGGCCTCGATCTCTGGTAGGGCTTGACAGGACGACTCATCATTCCTTACAGCGGGTATCTTATCATACCAGTCTTCTTGTATTAGCACGGCCCCTTATTTTATAAATTACGTTCCCTTTTGTCTGAAACTCCCATAGAAGGATTGAGGGATTTGTTGTTAGAGGGTTGTGGATTTAGAGCTTCAGGGGCATGACTTTAACCTGAAAAAGGCCATGTCGAGGTACGCACCCGGCTCTGCTCCGAATTGAATAATTCTGGTATCTTGCGGACTTCTGGTGGTATCCTGCCCGTGCAGTGGGAGTCATGTAAAGGCCTCCCTGATGCAGAGTCTGTCTTTCGAGGTTTGCCCTTAGCCCTGAACTCAAACTCCAAACTCTCGAACTGAAACACTGCTCACTATTCGCAGAGCCATGACCCTGAGCCTACAATCTAAATCACAAAAGCCTGAAGCCTCAAAACCCAAACGAGTCTCTGAGGATTCTTGGGAGACATCAACCTTTGGCCGCTGAACAAACCACGGCACCTCCTCCGCACTAATTCCATCCAGACCTGCTGGCACTTCGAGAGAATCGGGGGTTAGGGCTCAGCTCCAGGACTGGGATTCAAGGATCTCGGGTTCAACTATGAGAACGCAAGCTCAGCCCGCAGGGAAAAAGCAGCGCACCAGGCAAACGCAGCCGCATCAAACATGGGGTTTGGGGGTTCCGGTGAGACACGGGATCTCGGAATGAGACGGCACCTTCTAGACGCTGGATTTGTACCGGCCGGCGCTCATCGTAACCTCGCAAAATTTAAAATGTAGGTGTTTCGAGTTTAGGACTGGACTTGAATGTTCGATTTGCGGGAGGGGAGATTGTGCACCATCGGTGTATGGATTCGGGTCTGTGAACCTTGCTAGACACGACAGCTTAAAGACCTTCGACGCCCCAAACCCAATTCCGTAAAATCCTACACTGCCAAAGCTTAAGCCCCGAGGAGACCTCAGCGTTTCAGGGACCTAGCAAACGCCCACAGACACCACCGGTCCGAGCACAGCTTAAGGCAGGGTTGGGTGGAGTGAGATGGGGGGGGGGGGGTCATTAGGGCAACTCCCAAGTAGCCAAATAGCGGCCGGAACAATGCTCAATAGTGTTCAATTGCACCTGGAGTCTTACTCGTCCAAGATCCTCGGGGACCTCAAGGCGAACCTTTGGGTCATAGTCATAGTATACTAGACTCTCTAGGCCCCAGACCGTACTCCAATTATTACAAAAGCCGTCATCTTAGATCCAAAGACTTCCACCGGACAGGATGCGACCCGGCTCCGTCTTGAAGATCCGCTGCAGTCGCAGCGGTGCGACAGAGACCTCCAAGGGCTGTTGAGGGCTTGTTGGGTTTACGGGTCTTATGGTCAAGGGTTGGGGTTTCAGGGTCTTGGCTTCAGGGTTGGGAGTTTCAGGCTTAAGGGTTCCTGGTTCGGTTTTCGCGTTCGGGTCTTCGCTTATGGGGGGTTTACGGCTCAGGGTTTCGAATTTTGGGGGCTAAGGGCCACCCAAACCCTGAACTCGGAGGCCCCACACCCGTAGGGCCTTCGGCCTAGGGGGCCGGGGGGTTGCGGGCTGCAAGCGTAGCATCGCACTGCTTCCGGGGTTTAAGGAAGACAGATCTTCACGAAGTAAGGCAGATTGCAAAGAGCTCGCAGCCTGAAAGCACTGTCAAGCAAGCAACTCAATCCGAGCCCTGAACCGCTGGACCCTTGAATTTAGGGTTTAAGGCTTAGGCTTAGGGGATTAGAGCTTATGGGACATCAACCTCGTTCGACCCTGAAAGCGCCCATGCCGCCATAGCTGCATGCCGTAGACTACGCAAAGCCGACATACACCGAAAGCTAGATCGTAGCCAACATCCTGAAACCTTGCTCCGTGCTTATTTTTCGCCTTCCAGGCCCTACAAACCCCCACCCCCCCAACCCGAAACTGCAAGTTACAAGAACCCTTACAGTAAACCCCAGAAGTCAGGGGCCTCGAGAGCAAATTGAATGCTGAGCCATCAGCTCAAAAACCCTGAACTAAACTCTAACCGCTGAACCCTTGCTTGACCCCAAACCCTACTAGACCAAGCCCTCTTTTGCTATTGGACTCAAGCCTAAAGAAACCTAGCGCTTTTTTGCATCCCGGCTTGGGAAGTCGGCCGGGGAAAGTCACAAAAGACAACAGCATCCCTCTAAACCCTTTTGTGAACCCAGACTCTGCTCGCAATCATGCATCAAACAAAGTCGCAATACAGAAACCCTAAAGCCTTAAACCCTAAACCCCAAATCCTAATTCGATTGGCCTATTCAATCAGTTCTGACGCGGCACCGGCCGGAGGATCAGAATGGCGCTGTCGCCAAGGCAGGCAGTTACCAGGCTGTGGCCCTCCAACTCAAGCAGGTTTTTCGGTGTATCGGTACAGGGCGAAGAGTTTTGAGGTTAAGGACAAGGGTTTAAAGCTGGGGGCTTAGGGCTTGGGCTTGTTTTTGCCTCTCTTGAGGTCTAGGGTTGAGGGTCCCACGAAGGTTTAGGTTTGTTTAAGGCGGGTTTAGGGTTCAGAGCTTCAAGTTTAGGAGGTTAAGGTTTAGTGTCTGGGAGTTCAAGTGCAGGGTTTTGGGCCTTTGACTTGCAGATTACGCCGCTTACAACTTGGACCAGGCAAGGCATGTCATAGGTCGGATGAGGTGAGAACTGCCAGGACTGCCATGACAAACAAAGCTGCCAATACAACCACACTGTATTTACTACAACGCGCTAATTGCTACAACCGGAGAGATGTCAGTCCGAACGGAAGTCCCGAGCGTAGAGAACTGAACCAGCTGAGGTCTTCCATACTAGAGAACCTGTCGCACTCAACAGGGGGAACAGACCGGGCAATAGGTTCAGGGTGGGTTTCTGGACAGGTATGGTGAACATGCTGGGGTTCAGGAACGTTCTGGATCTAGGGCTTGGAGGTTCACACTGTCACACTCGGACTCGCCAGATGAGGTTCGCGGTGTGAAGTTCGCGGTGCGCAGTCCGCTTGGGGCTAGGGGCTTTGCGACTTTGCAGTGCATCAAGGCTTGGGAGAAGGGATGTACCCACTCTAAGTCCAAGGTGCTTTATGGTGAAGGGGTCTGCGGGGCTGATGGTCTTCACGAAATGCAGGATGTTAACGATCGCGGGGGTCTAGCTTGTTTGGGATCAGCTGTGTGCGGCTGGCTGGAGTTAAGGGTTCATTGGTCCTGCGTCTGGTTGTAGAGCCTCGCCACTTCAACCTGTTTCGGGTGCCTGGGGTTGTTAGAACATTCAAGTGGAGAGCTACAGAACAATCACAGGGAGTTCCCAGCACCAAGGCTTTCTCGAAAAGCTAGGTGTGCACGAGGCTTCTCGAGATGTTACAGGGCGATTCCTATGAACCCGATAAAACCTGCAATCCTATAGACCCTGCAAGGCCGAAATCCTGTGCACCCGCACCCTGCCGGGCCTTCAGGGCGGCAAGGAGCATGGTCGTAGCTCCCAACTCCGTCGTGGTGTCGTAGGACTCCTGGATCAGGCCTGACTTGAAATCTTAACCGTTGCCGCCAAGATACACGAGTCCTGGAGCCTTTCTCCCTCTCCCTCTCCCTCTCCCTCTCCCCCTCTTTTTTCTCTCTCTCTCTCTCTCTCTCTCTCTCTCTCTCTCTCCGCACCGGACCTTTGGGAAGGGTGTGCAAAACTGAGATTGGTTGGCGACTGAAACGGCAGGCGCTGTTAGTACATGAACATGTGCTGAGGTTTTTCTGTCCCTCTCTCTCTCTCTCTCTCTCCCTTTGCTTTGCTTTGCTCGGGGTATGAGTCAGGGGTTCCCCCTATCTCTCTCTCTCTCTCTCCCGGGCANNGCATAGGGGCAGGTCAATGCCCCCGGGCACCAGGCCCTCCCGATGTTTTATCGGGTAAAGGGGAGTGAACATCGAGTGTAGATTGTCAAAAGCTAAGGCCGTAAATAATACGATGACGAACATCTGACAATCGTACACTCTCTGAGAAACGTGCACAAGGATGTCGATTTGCCTTTAGGAACGCCGGGGTAAAGCTAGCGAAATGAACAGAAGAGGCAGTTGACATCCCCCGTCAATAGTGCCTGACATGTTGGGCACTTGGTTTTGAGGGGGGTCTTTCCCCCTGACAACACATGACCACTTTACAAGTCATCTCACTGATCCTTGCAGGCCACCACGCGGCCAGCACGACCAGTCACCCGCCCCGCAACGCGTCCAGGGTTTCTGGACTTGCAGTTTCTTTTGGAGGGTTTAGAGTTTAGGGTTTCAGACTTGAGGCTGTCCAAGTTTCAAAATTCGAGACATTGCTAAAGCTCAAGTCCTCCCCCACGGAACATAGGCGGGATTATCCCGGCATAGGGTGCCTCCAATGCATCACAACTACGTCCGCTGAAATGGGCTGGACAGGTGGCAGGGGCAGAGAGGCTGCCAGATGCGGCAGGGACACGACTTTTGAAACGACAAACACCTCGTCCTCTGGCCCTGCCACACATTAATACCGAAAGGCAGGCACAAGTGACAGGTCCGCGTTTTCGCGACAGGTGGCCCAAAGTGTGGCCCTGCCGTGATTTCAGGCACATGAGCGGGCACAAGTGATACGCGAGTGCGCGGGCACAAGTGACACGGGTTACGCGGGCACAGGTGACAGGTCTGCCGCAGCTGAGGGGTCCCCCGACAGGGAGTTTTCGGTATTCCCCTCCCTAAGAAGTACAGTACACATCGCCCAGGAGGCATTGGAAACAAAGAGACACAACCACACATCACCAAGACCTTACAATAGTCAGTATAACAGGACTCGGCACTATCTCGCTGGCACCTTGAAACATCACGTATCTCATACACCCCGCCTGATCCCCCACCGAACTGACCCGAATCCTGCAATTGTGTACTCACTGCTACTTGCACACGCTGCCTGACCTACGTGCCTGCCTGGCCAACACTGCTGGCTACCGGGAGGTCCCCCCCTTTTGAGTGGTGAACCTCCGACGCTACACAGCTCTAACGTACTCGATCTCATTCCCCCGTGTTCAGGCGAACTCAGATGACAACGAGTCCTCCCCCCTTCCCTCAGTCACGGCGTAGGGGTCTGCGACGTCGTAGAGGAGGCCGGCAGTTTCTCTGATCAGGAGTCTTCCCCCATTGGCGTTTCTCCCTCTCTCTCTTTCTTTCGCCAGGCTAGGGTAAGGGGAGCAAGACCCCTCACCTTTCTCTCTCTCTCTCTCTCTGTCTCTCTTTCTTTCTTTCTTTCGCCAGGGTTGTGGTGCAGAGGTTGCCCCCTACACTCACTCACTCAACTCAACTCACTCACTCACTCACTCACTCACTCACTCACTCACTCACTCACTCTCTCTCTCTCTCTCTCTCTCTCTCTTTCTCTCTCTCACTCACTCACTCTCACTCTCTCTCTCTCTCTCTCTCTCTCTCTTCCACCCAGGCATACAGCCACAAGGCCTAAACCTCGAACCCTAAGTTGACAAACCCAAAGTCGAGCGGCGTGTGATCCACGGTTTCATCTCCTTTCCTCAGCTTGGTGGTTTGTGTTTGCCTCCCGCCTTGCAGGACGAACCTACGATGCAGGGCCAGATACTTGGGATCATGGCTTCAGGGCTTCAGGGTTGGGGGCCTGGGGATCACCTCTACCGCGTGTGGTTTAGCCGACATCAGGTTTACGTGTTCAAGGCACAGAGCTCACGGGGACTCTGGGAGTTTACCGTCGCCCTAGAGCCCACGGAAAGTATCCCAACTTGGAACAACGGCACTTGCTGTTTCTGTGTTCAGGGTTGAGGAATGACGCTCGGTATAAGTGTGTAGGCAGTCGACGCAGCTCCTACGAATGTTATTCCCGCCTCCACTCCGAAAACCACCACCAAGTTCACGGGCCCTACACTGCATGTGGCCCAAGCCTTAACCCGACCTGTGGGTGACTGTTTGCCTAGGCTCTTGATTTCAACTCCAGTGCCCTCGGTGGCAAAAAGAGGTGTGGGTTAGGTTTGGGTTTCGGGTTTAGCGGCCCGTCCTTCTATAAGCACTTCTGTTCTCTGCTGGGCGGTCCCTGCATCGCAACCCTACCTCAAACTCCAAAGCCGTAGAACCCCATCCGGTCACCACCACGGCACCCGGCTTCGGCTCGCCGCGTGCAGAGGCGGCGAAGAGCCCTTTGCCGCAAGATCGGAGCAGCTCCTCACGAACTGGGTTTAGGGGGGTACAAGGTTTGCTGTTTCGACTCTCGCGACTCGCACAAGGCAGGCAAGGATCCTAAGACTAAGCGTTTCGGGTCTTGGGTTAAGGCTCAGTTTAGTGTAGGGCCCTGGAAACTGCTATGCTTGGGATTGCTTTCGACTCTCCCAGCTTTGCGATCTGGTTCGGTCTTCCTTCACGGTGTGCTGCGGCATGTGCCGTTGCTGATGCCGGTCGTACTATACCACCACCACCACCACCACCACCACCTTTTGAGCGCTCCGCTCCGCTCCGCTTCCTGTCTCTCTCTCTCTCTCTCTCTCCCTCCCTATCCATCTATCTATCTATCGCTCGCTCTCTCTCTCTCTCTCTCTCTCTCTCTCTCTGTCTGTCTGTCTGTCTACCGATCTATCCATCTATCTATGCATCTATCTATCCATCTATCTATCTATATCTCTGTCTGTCTGTCTGTCTGTCTGTCTGTCTGTCTTTCTGTCTGTCTGTCTGTCTATCTATCTATCTATCTATCTATCTATCTAATACACACATATATATATATATATATATGTATTACCTACCTACCTACCTGTCGACCTACCGACCTACCGACCTACCCATCAACCCATATGGTTTGGCATATGGTTGAATCGAGGCTTCCTTTCTTTCCTTCTGTCGTAGGGGTCAAAGAAGTGACGTCACATTTTGCTTGCCGCGGCAACATATCGATCCACACAAACATGGTTTTTGTTCAGCATGGGCTCGGATTGTGTGCCAGCGCACACACCTCAACAGCAGGGCTCATGGTTAAAACGACAACGAAAAGGCCCCTGCCACGTACCATATACTATACATGGGCCCCGGACGCGGGATGGCATCCAAATCCCTTAAACCGTCAAGGCGTCGAAGCCCAAACCCGAAACATGCTACAAGCCCCTGTAATCCTGAATTGGGTTGTAGTTCGAGGGTACCAACAATGATTTTGAAGGATACGTCTATGATCGTAGGAGGAAGTATAAGCACAAGGCATCCCATCCCTTCTGCCTAGAACCACTGCCCTGAAGCCTGCAAGGACAAATCCGAAAAACGGCTACTCCTAAATCCCTGACCCTAAAAGTAAGCCGGCCCTGAGCCCGTCATCGCAGAAACCCTTAAGCTCTCACCTTAAACCGGCCGTACTTTAAGCTCCCCCTTTTCACCGCCAGGATGCCCAGGGCAGGGCATCCGGCGTCAAGCCGAGGTGATGCACGCCTGAACAGCATGCAGCCAACATCCGAGTCGCAGGAGCCCTGAAAACCCCCAAACCGAGCCCCGAAGACCTTTTTTAGGCAGGGACTGCAATGCACTAAGCCCCGAAGACCTTTTTGCAGAACGTGCCTGAGACGCCATCCGCGATTCCCAAGTAGTCGAGCCCTGTGGGATGGAAGACGAGAGCCCCAAGTACAAGGCTTCCAGGCTTCAGGAGCATGTGGGGTCTAGGGTTTAAGGCTTTTGTCTCTCGCGCCTGGCCAGAACTTTTCTTTCGCTCATAACGATGGCAATAATAAGAACAATACCACCAATAACAATACCGATAAGCAATACTAATAACAGTAGAAGAAGAATATCCCGCAAGCCACAGCTAGACCATAATATGCCCCAAAGCCCCTGTCGAAGCATTACGGCCCTTCATCAGGGCTTTGCGGCTCTAGGGGTTTCGGATTCTTCCAGGCATTCTGAGTCAAATTTGCATGACGTGGCTGGCAACATCCATTTGAGATCTGGTCGGCGTAGGGTTTAAGGTTTAAGGTTTTGGGTCTTGTTTGTCTCGTGCAGGACTTAGTTCGGGGAGTTGCTTTGCGTAATGCCACCTCCTCCGGCTTCTACACATTGCCGTGCCTTCCAGGACAGCATCGGCATTTGGCATTCCTGTGCTGACCTGTTTGCGGGACTAGCTGCAGAGACTGTGTGTTCCGAGGGGTATTGTCTGCGTAAGGAGTCAGCAGCTTTTGGACATGAGCTACGGCATTTCGGTCACAGCTGCTGTCGGAATTTCGGAATGCATGTCTTGACTCATTCGCATCGGAACCCCGAAACCTCAACACCAATGCCCTTGATATCAACTCATGCCCGGATCCTGCATCAGCTGGGAATCAGAGCAAATGCCATAGACCCTAAGCAAGAGCAAGCCCTAAGACTCAAAGCCTAAGCGCAGAAGCCTCAAACCAAACGACCTACACCTCAAACCCTACGACCTAAGCCTCGAACCCTCATGCCCTAAACTTTATAATTACCCCAAGCCCCGAGCCTCAAAGCCAACGCCCTCTACCTCAAACCCTAAGCCTTAAGCCTCAAGCCCGAAGCCCTTGTTTGGTTGAACTCCACCGCCGTTCGAACCAAAGACGACAGCCTTCGCTGGATGCTGCTTCGAGAAGTATGCGGACGCGAACTGCCTGATTCTAGGGCATTATAGGGGCCTGAATGATTGGGGGTATGTTATAATGTGATTACGGTCAAGAACGTAAAGGGCAGAGTATCAGAGGAACTCCAAACGGATGGGAGGTTGCTCGAAGGCCAAGTTCCTGGGCCCGGCTTCACAGCTGAAGTGCTTACGGCTTGCAGGTCGTAGGTCTAGGGAGTTCAGGCTGCAGATTCTGGAGCTCAAGAATTCAGAGAGTCGAGTCTCAGATTCGGCAGCTCCCGCATCCAGTTCGGCCGTCTCTGCTGGGCCGGATATGCCTCTGCACGGGAGTGTTTCGGTTGGTACTGCGTTTGCACACACGATGGAATGCGCGGTTCACGACTCCTTGATCCAGAGCATTTTTGTTGCAAGAACCTTCTGGTCGGAAAGTCTCGCGGTTTAAATGTCAAAGTCCGATCCTTGGAACAAGTAGAAGTATAATGTACTTGAAAAAATGCAGGTGCTTCGAGAGGATGCTTCAACTGGACTGCAGCCAAATCTTGTAGCAAGGAGCTCTGCAGGAGGCCACACGGTTGTCCTGCTGCTTCTACACAAGCTACATAACAACCCTCCTGCATTCCAACGATTTTGAATTGACGATATACAAACAGGTATGTGCATGCATGCACACACAAACATGCATGCCTGCATACGTACCCTGTGTGCATGTGTGTGTGTGTGTGCATTCAAGCTTACGTACATGTGCATATACATAGACATGTACAATATGCATATTTTATTCATGAAGATATGCCAAACATTAACATGTTTATCTACCGGTCCATGCACACGTATTTGCGATCGTTTGTTTACGCATGCATGCATGCAGGAAGATATGTATGCCTGTCCGTCTGCCTGGCTGCCTGACTGTCTGTCTGTCTATGTCCGTCTGTCTGTCTGTATGTATGTATGCATGCATGTCTGAAAATGTATCTATGCGTAAACTACATAAGTATGCACATGACCTATCTATCTATCTTTTGGTGCTTCGGGCTGAAGTCCTGGAAAATCGTGCATCCCTGGCTCCAGACCCCTAATGTCCTAAAGACAAGGTGCAATGACCAGAGACTGGCAATTTGGCAGCCCGGGCTGGGGGCACATCGCATGGTACTGCTGGCCTATGGCTGCAACGTCCTCGCAGGCCACGTTTCAAGAGCAGCTAAGTGCAATGATCACGTCCACAGCTACTAATACAACTACGGCTACTCGGCTACTCCTCCTCCTCCGACTACGACGATGAAGACGCAGATTTCAAACTCAATTAATGATTTCACTACTACGAGGACGACGAAGTCACCAGCCTGTTTCAAAAGCACCTGCCATTCTCCAGAAACACAAGTGTCACAGAGTGGAAGAGTCCCTATCCACGGCTTGACCGAAGAGGAGTCGCAAGAAGTCCGGCCGTGAATGCCGTGCGCGAAGCGATCATAAGACGGGCCTTGAATGCTACACCTTGCGCCAAACCTGGAGCCCCAAGCCACGCGATCCCAAACCCAAAGAAGGCAAGCCAAACAATCCGCCCTGAAACTCCAAAACCCAACACACCAACTCCAAAACCCCAGCCCTAAACTCTTCAACCCTTTTTTGCACAGACTTGCACATGCCCGTCTGATGCTGAGGGTTTCTGCCACGCGTGCGGCAGCTCTGAGAACTCTTCAACCCTAAACCCGAAACCCCGAAACCCGGAAAGCCCGCAAACCTTGGAATTCGGAGTGGCGATCATGGTCTCGCAGCCCGCCAGCCTCGAATCGAGAGTACTATCGTATAGTATGCGACAATATACCGTATATTCATATACAAAAAACAATTTATAACATACTATGTAAATATACTCTATCATATACCACAATCTACTATAAGAGTTTAGGGTTGTTGTTTCTTGCCTCCTGCGATTAAGCCACCAACAGTTCGAAGTTCACAAGTTTATCCAACAAATTTCGCTTATGCATCTCACACACCTGCAGCGAAATGCCGCCAGAATCTGGAGTTTTATTTAACAACCCATGGTCGCCATCAGCGCCCTCTGATAACAGAAGGGTTGGATGAACTACAGTTTCAGGCAACACAGTACAACTCCGGATTCAGCGGGAGAGCTATTCCATCAGGCTTCACGCACCCCGGGTCATCATTAGCAACAGATAGGGCAGCAATGCCAGCATTGCTGGTGTAGTGCAAGGAACTGTCACCACGGCAGGGCATGGCGCGACTGATCTCATGAGGGACAGCTTCGAGTCTTAGGGTTGTTTAGGTTTGGGACTTGTTTTGGGTTTTTGCTGCCTCCTGTTTTGGATTTTGGGTTTGGGGGTTTGAATGTTTTGCGTCCTGCACACCAGGCAGAATGCAGAACACAGGCAATAAACCCTGATAGGATGTTATACTGTCTTGTACTACGATAGTTTATTATAGTGTATTGGGGTGTATTTTGGTATGCCATCGCTTAATACAGTATTTATCGTACTATAGCATACTACAGCCCTCCTTCCTAAAGTCCTCAAATGGAGAACAAGGAGGCCCAGAGTCTTCAGTCAACAGGGCTTTCGGCATCAGGCGAGGCTCCAGAACCTAAATTGGACCTAAATGAAAATCTATTGTGCCGTGCTATGCTGTATTGTGTTACAGTATACTATATTATATAGTATCTGAGCTCCGCAAACCCAGAAAGGCGGGCTGAAAATAGGTCTGAGATTTAGGTTTGAAGCTTAGGGCCTAGAGTGTCCGGAGTTGAGGATTGGGGCTTGGGGCTTAGGGTCTGGGTGCTGGGTTCAGGGTTCAGTTGAGGGGTTGAGGGTGTAGTAGGGGTGCTTTGTGCGAGATCAGCCGCGGGGAAGCAGTCGTGCCATGGGTGGAATTCGCTTTGGCCACATCAACTGCCAAGCTGGGGCAGTAGGACCTTGGTGCACCGGCCCGAAACAACCAACATGGCATAGGGTGCTTTTTAGAGTTTAAAGTGTGTAAACTGCATCATTTCCAATCCACCAGCAGCTCTTGACAGAATCTCCGGACCCTTTCCATCGTGGGATCCAATGTCAGCTTGGCGGCAAGGACCCTCCCTTCTGGCCGCGGACCAAATTCGCTTTGGCCACGTCCACGAAGCTGGGGCAATAAGACCTCGGCTCGTCAACCCAGCATGTCTCGAATCCCTAAACCATCAACCCCAAACCCCTCCATCCCGCTGAAATTCACAAAAACGCTAACCAGAAGCTCCCTAAACCCTGTTAACTCGAATGAAACTCGAGAGCAGCTTGCGAGTGTTGCGACGAAGAACACGAAGCAGTGGGTGAAGGAAGGAGAGGTTCTAAACAAGAGCCAGGTGTGTCTTCAGTGTTCCTCTGTACGGTGCCTAGATTGTGTGGGATTTGATGTAGAGGTCGAATACTTTGTCATGTCCTTCATTCGGGATAATGGAATACTCATCGCGGGGTCAAGGATATTGGGTCATACAGATTAGGATGTGTAATGGATAGTTTAACCCTATGTCCAAGCGGTCGCGATGGCTGCAGTGCAGATTACTGCAACAATTGCCGAGGGCAAGAAATGGCGGCTCAGTGGCATCGATCCATTGTTCTGACCAGAACTCGTTTGGCCAGCTTCCGCCACCAAGTTGGGACAGTAGGACCTCGGGTCTTCGACTCTTTAGGCGTGACCCCGACTTGCACTCTGCTGGGCCGCCCTTGCCCTTTCCCAACGGAACATATTCAGCTTGTTACGCATGGCTCTTGGGCGATTCAGCATCTGGGTGCCGACAAGATGGCGCAGACCCGCGTGTTTGATGCACCGGGCTAGCTCTCGCTGCATTTGTGAGCAAGCTGGGGCAGTAGGACCTCGGCTGGCTGACAACATGTTGGAGTGATCTGTTTTCATAACTTGCGCAATCATCAAAACAGAGAACTTCAAGTACAGTACTCATCATTACCATCAACACAAGATGATGATTACAACGAAAATCGTGATACTTACTGATAACACGTGTTCCAGTATTTGCAATCATAGTAGTGCGAAACATGATACTCTAGCCTTGATGATTAGACTCTGTGTTTGGTAGATAATCAACTACCGAAGCAAGGAAGGAACTGGAACCCTAGGGATTCATGTCCCTAAACCCCAAAACCTACATCCTAATCTCAAACCCTGCAGCCCAGACCCTCTTTTTTCACTGGGCTCAAGTCTAAACCCAAAACCCCGAGAGGACTAGCCAAAGTCAGCTCAGTCGCGTGGAGCCCCGAGGCTGGACCTGATTGGAGTTCACGACCAAGCTGGGGCTGTAGGACCTGACATGGGCTGACGATTTGGGGCTGGAGGGTTTTAGGGTTTTTGGAGGGCTTTCGGTTTAGGATTCAAGGGTTTTGTTTTTGTTACTGCAGGAGCTGGATATGGATGAAGGCCGCCATGAGCTGCTTCCATCCGGGTTTGAGGAAGGCCCCGAGGGCTCCACCACAGGCGTTCCATAGAGTGGTTGAGGGCTTTGGGCTCTCGCGACTCGGACTCTGCAGGAGAGGCTGGTTCGGTCGGAAGGCGAGTGTCCCGTCTTAAGGACTCTTTTCTTACTGGCGGGCTTCATGGGTTTATGGGAGTTTGGGGCTTGTGGGTTAGGCTTATGCTTTGTGTTTGTCGTTCTCGACTCTCGCAACTCATGTTTTGAACGACAAGCTTTATTCCCTCCTACCTGGCAGAAGTGTGGGCTCGAGATCTCCTCTATACCAGACGTACATGGGTTCCAGCACTCACAACTAGGACAAGCCAGGCGAGGTCTATCCGGTACGTCGAAAGGCGCATTGGCCCAATTGACTTTTAGGTTTTAGGGTTCAGGCGCAAGCAATCTCACCGACATCAGCCAGGAAGTTCATCTCCAATGCGCTTTGAGAATGGCTTTTCCATCAGGCTTTGCATGAAAGGCCTAAGCTCTAACCCCAAGACACAACCCCCAAAGGCGCCCAGGTGCAGAGAAGCAGGCGGCCGACGTGGCGGAGCATTCAGGGAAAGGCCTTCAGTCCGTGGATTTGGGTATCGGGGCTTAGGGCGTACGTCTTTGGGTATAGGGATATTATGCCTCCTACACAGCTGAACGAGTCCGAGTATCGGGTTTTGTTTTCCCTCCCTGTAGGGCTTGGGGTTTAGGGTTGCTTGGTTTTTCCGGCCTACGGTCTGGCGGGTAGAAGGCTTTGACATTCAGGGGCAGAAGCAGGCTTCAGAGTTTCAGGGTTCGGTTTCTTGTCATTGCTGCTGTGCACCAAGCTCCGGGGTTCAGGCTTTCGTGCGAGTCTGTTGCCAATAACTGACATGAGCCTTTGGGAAACGGTACACAGAGGCTTAAGCAAGGCCATAAACCTTCCAAACTCCGCAACTTCATACCTCCTTTGGATTGATACCGAGGGTCCCACCTCTCTTTCGAAAAAGCTCGCGGAATATCTCTGCAAGCCCTCAACCCTCCTCAACGCAAAACACTTCACACCGACTCCTGAACCTTACACAATGCCGTGCCGCCGGGGTGTAGGTCTTTGCGTGCGGACATGGGCCTGTTTGAGTTGAGGAGTTCAAGTCTCCAGGCTTCTGCTTGAAGTCGGCAACTGTATGAATGAGACGCTCGCACGGGCAACTTTTCTAGGTTTTCTGAGTGATGAATATCTGAATACTGGAGGCAACCACGGAACGGGGAGCACTATCTTCGATATCCACCCTCCCGATGCCTGTGCTGTCACGGAGAGACACTACAAGGTGGCACTGGTAGCATTGAGCATCTTGTTGTGAAGACCCTAGCGGTCGTAGTGTTGCTAGTGCACAACTTAAACACACCGCGGCCACCAGCGCTGCATCCGTTTTCCGTGGTCTGCTTGCTTTAGAAGCGATCCCACCGCACAACCTCACACTACACATGAGAGCATACAATAATAGCTATTGGGCAAGGTCAATTTGGAACGACAAATACAATCCCAGCTATTCAGCTATTCCATGCGAATGCATGTGCATCTGAATCGGTGTGTATATATGATTCTATGGTGTAAGCATGTGTGTTTGTATGTATGTACGTACGTACGTACGTAGGCATGTACGCAACATGCATGTCTGCATGCACAGATTTTTGCAGACAGACAGACTGACTGACGGGCTCCCTGATGTTGAACACACTTTTCGTTTCTTATGCTGGGTCTCTTCGACATCACATGCACACAGACACGGACACACATGCTTGACATGAAGCCTGCAAAATCCTGAAGCGTAGAACGACCCACAAAAACCGAAGGATTCCTTTTTTGCAACAGACTTTCCACTTCGCTCGGAGTTGGAGCAAGCAGCCCTAGCAGCCATCCGGATCTACACCTTCGACGTTTGAAGCCTTATTGATGATAAATCCCCTATACACCGCTCATGCCAATATTTTTCAGGCCTTCCGCCGTCGGAAACCCTTTAGAATACCTTCGAAAGACATTGCCTGACCTTTTCTTTTGGATGCTTCGGCTTATACGTCAAGCTGCATACGCGGGAGCTCGCCAGTCCAGGCTGCCTTGCTCTGCTGGGCTGGATATGCCTGGGCTTCTCACTGGGATGTCGGGGGGTATAATGCCACGTTAAGTCTTTCCTGCAATGCGTTTAAAGCGAGTTCAAGGTCTCCTTCTCGGAGATGGTTTCGGATTGTCAGTCAGGGTTCCGGGGTTCTGATGGTTCTGGCTACTGCGCGGTGGAGGGGTGCAAAATCGGACGTCCGAGAACCTTGAACCCGCAGATCACAGAAGCCGCACCACCAATGAAGCCCCGACCACCAGAATCGTACAGCCCGAACCCTGCAACAATCTCCTACAAGTAAGAACATGCCGGCAAAATGCAACCACGACAGGAGGTCCTGGCTGATACCCCGGACGATGCTGCTGGGAGACGTTGCTCTGGTCCTGGAGCATTCCCATCATGCGGCTTGGCTTAAAGCGAAGGACAACAAGTCAGAGTAATGCGCAGGCACATACTAGCCTGCAAACCAACATTCTGAACTGAGAGGCATCAAGATGCATCAAGCCTGGGGTAGCACGCTCGTGGTTTACGCGGCCCAGCCTTGTTCCGAGGAGTTGCCATCATCTGCGAGTGCCCGGGCATCCTGGGTGGGTGGAACGTCGCAGGCCCCCGGCTGCCGGCATGAGTTCCAGACTTGTGACGCAAAACATACTTGTTTGCATTCCATTCATCTTACCGAAATACGGCCGAATGTGACACCGTGCCGGAACCGCAAACCCCCCCACCAAAACAAAATACAAATAACGGAAACCTTACGTGAATTACTGTAGCCCGGCTGCACCATGGCGCGGCCGGGTGTAGAGGGGATCCTGGCTGAATCCGGCGGCATGCTCGGGCAATAAGACCTTGGATGCTCAGGGTTTCGTTAAACAATGTCAAATGTAATCGACAACAAAAAGCACAAAAGCAAATTCCTCACTGCTAAAACCTTAATACGACAATAACCATTGCCTCACGGTTACCGTTTCAACACCTCACCTAACCCTCAACTCTCCCATTCAAACCTGTACCTGAACTGGAATCCTGATTATCTCATGCACCAGCAATGTCTGCCTCGACTGGCCCAGTGGCAAAGAAGCCGGCTGCCGCGGCGGTGCGGTCATGGACTGACCTTGGGCCGGCATCAATATCAACTTATCAACCAGACAGTAAACGAACGCTACTCCAATTACTAAGGCCACGAGATAAGGCAGCAAGTCTCCTCCTGTCGTCTTTCGCAAGCGAAGTTTGCGTGGGAACCCCGACGGAAAGGTTTGAGAAGAATTACTGTAGAACAAGATTTCGAGGCTCTATTTTACCAGAATTATGATCAGGAAAGCGTCACATCGTAGTATTGGCAATGGTGTGCTTCATGCAAGCTCTCGCGAGGAACCCTCAAAAATTCACAAGGAAGCAGAACATGAACAGGAGTTCCTCCCTCTGCCACAAGAAGAGTTTCAATGGCGCTTCTGTACTGACCTGCAAATCCATTGGTTGGAATTCACCTTTAAATCGAGGCCACGATACCTGGTGGCATCTGGGCTGGTGCCCGGCCGCGAGAGATCGGCTCGGCCTGAACCGCGCAAGATGCAACTACCGCAAGGCGTGGTTGGGTCTGAAAGGTAGTCTTTTGAATTCTATTCGGGCGTGGCCGACTAAACGGCTCCGTGTCCATGCGGTTTTCTTGAGCAATCGAAACAGCACAAGTCAACAGGGCCAGGAGCTGTCCAAGAGTTGTGCTGACACCAAAAAGGTTTCGCGGATTCGCCCTTTAGCGCGGTGCCTGCACTGGAGGCGGCATGGAATACCTTAGTGGCACCAGCCGCACTGATCCAATGCAAGATGCCTGCCGAGCCAACAACATGTTCCGTCAAAAGCTTCCGGCGTGGATAAATTCGAACCATCCGTAACGGCCAACTTCTTCCTCACAAACTGCTTACAAATGACGAAGTAGCGTAACTTGTGCAACTGCTTGCATCAGCCGAGCCACGAGGCTCCAGGAGCAGGTCGGAGGCGGTGCGACCTCCAAAAGCTCTTTCACCCTCCCTGCCCCTGAGGCTACCCACCTCAACCGCACTCAAGCGACTTTCGAGCTCTGGTTGGGACTTCAACGTATGGGACATGCAGTTGTTCGGCTTCGGTCAGAAACTCAACCGTCTCGGAATTGAGTTCAACTGCGTCCTACACGTTCGGTACCAGCAAAGGTGCTCGTCGAGTGTGTCATGCACATCGGAGTACGATTTGCAAGCCGTACTTGTGCAAGGATTGTGTATGATTGCTTGAATCTGGAGGACGAGCCGACTGCCACTGCACTGGCCACCGTGGGTTTGACTTGATAGAAGCTCGACCGAGGCTCGACCCCGCTGGACCCTCGTCACGCAAACGGAAAAAATCTGGAGGACCTGAGTGACCTTCTAGATCAACACTTTGTTTGCTTACTTGGTTTTGACATGCACCCAGGTTTTGACATGCACTCAGTGTGTCTGTGACTGACGATCAACCGTGGTCTGGTCTGATGGCTTCTTCTCACATTGCGAGCGGACATACATGCAAGCCAATATGTTACAGAAACCCGGCCTGAGCGGCGTCGGGATGCAAGCAACAAAAGGTGTGGCACCAGTTCCGGAGTTGACCTTGACGGAGTATGACATTATTACATATATTATTACGGCGCTGGCTGTCGCATGTGCGACCCCTACCCCTTGCTTTCATCTAAGGTTGAACCCATGGGCCCCTAACATGGGCCCTTAGGGGATTCTAGGGTCCCTTAAGGGTATATATAGGGTAAATAGTACGTATATTAGGGTCCCAGGGTTAAGGGCCCATACTAGGGGCCCATGGGTTCTACCTTAGATTTCTAAGGCTTCGAGGCTACAGTCGAACAGGTCGCAGGCATAGGGGTGCGTGGACTCGTATTGTGTTCTATTT